ATTTTGACTTTGTTTTCCTGAGTCACTGAAATACCACAGGACTCATTTATTAGTTCCTTCGTTATCTTTCATTTGGCTAAAGTAGTTTTCCTGCTACACTTTGGCAATAACGTTACAAATTTGCGGAAGGCAACTTGTTGTGTCGATATAAAGTTGCCTAAATGTTATTTCCTCCTACTAGCTTTCACATTCAAACAGACTTTTTTTTTTTTTTTTTCTCTGGAGGAGAAAGCGGGGACTGTTTGGTTAGCAGCTAGCTCAAGTTAGCTAGGCAAAAGCAACGTTAGCTACAGCTGTTCCAAGCAACACAGAGATAGATATTATCCAACCGAATTTGAGCGCTCTTGTGCTTACCTTGAATACCTCCGGTCAACTGCTGTCCACACCGCTCAACTGTGGTCAGAAAGCACGTCAAAAACCAGATCGATTATGCTAACTTTGGCCTGTCCCTCATTGGTCTTCTGACAGGTCAGCCATGTTCTGTCTGCAGACAGTCACCTGACTGTCGTTGCCTGGCAACCCAGTGAAAGTGGGGGGGAGTGGAACATACCAACAGCGGGGGTAAATGGGGAATGCTCATTTTTGTAGTCGGTGATTAGTTGGGACTGTCACACTTCACACATATGCATACATATCTGAATGTGTGTTTTAAAGTAATAGTTTTAATGTTGGTGTTTCACGTGTTGGACATCCCGTGGTTTATATCCAAAAGTCATGGATGTTTGTGTCCACTAGAGCTCATTCACTGCCTACACTGTTTGACATTTAGTTGAGATGAAATGAAATTATGCTGCTTGTTTTTCTGACTGAAGTTTGTCTCTGCATTCACCTCCTGCTCTCATATTATAAACACACAAGTCTGATGAATCCATATTGCCCCATTACTGTTAAAGAGGTTAAATAATGTGCTTCATTTTTTTGGTTAAGTGCTAACAATAGTAACTACAGAACAGGAACACCGATTAAAGGAAATGAGACTGCAATTTCTGAAGTTAATGCAAAAGACCATGATATCCAAATGGTAACTAAAATACCATTTTATGGCTCTCTTCCGTAACTGTGTGACACCACGTGAAAAGGGAGTTTTATGAGGTTATTAAATGAAAACTACCAGTGCAGTTAGGTTGATTCCCACTTAGCAGAAAGTCAGCTCATGAGCAGATAGCAGCCATAAACTCTGCAAAATGAACTGACACACATGCATAACTTGATACACTGTTTTAAACAACCTATTGAAGTCCATGACTAAAAGTTTACATTCCTTTAGATTCATATTTTCTAATGTCTGACCATCCATCTGAAGAGATCTTTGAGATCATTTCAAAACCGTATATGAGTGCTTCATTTAGGAAGTACTGTTTCTAATATAAATGATATATGGGTTGTACCTAAAGGGAAAAATATTGCTTAATGTTTACCACCAGTTTATTTCTTGAGACTACATTTATTATAAGAAAGAATATCAAGAACTACATGGTGCAAAATCAGTTGGGAGCTCACAGATATACATATTTTATAAGTCCAGTGCAAAATCCAGTTTGATAGTAAATTAAGATTTCAGATCACTGAAAAATTCAAATGTGTTTATCAGGGTTTACAAAGTAGGACTAGACAATCCTCAAATAAATGAGGACACATTTTGTGTCATGTTTGGTCAAGTACATGTTGTAAATGCTATCACAGTTGTTTATTAGCTAGATGATTATGAATATGTTAGTATTGCACTTAATGGTGGGCGTAGACTACATTTTATCTGAGATGTTTGATAAAGGCAACACAGAATTTTGAAATAAAGTTTATTTTCTGATATAAAAAAGTATTTTTCATCATTAAAAAAATATTTTCCCAAAAGGGAAATTTAACAGAACGCACACATTCAACACAACAGTGAAATTATAACAATAAATCAACAAACAAGATAATATGTATCGGAAAATTGTTGCTGACAATGTGTCATGCCCCTGAATCAAGGCAAATATGAACTAATTAATGTAACTTTGTGGAAAAAAACTGAATGGTCGGTTTCCACTTGAGGCTAATTTGCAGGATAATAAACAGTCAGCTTTTCAATTACTCAGACAAGCTAAAGCAAACAGTGATGAAATAAATTATGAAATATCTTTGAGAAACTACATTTTAACTAATGGAGAACTAGAAGAACACAACAATGTAAAATATCCCTCCAAAAACCCCCACTCAACTTCAGTATGTATATGTAACGCATATGTAACGCATATATACCTTCATTGCACACATTGCACAACTTATTAACAACGTAATTAACATACAACTTTATCATTACTTTTTTAAAGACATTAAATAAATCAATATTTTGTTTGTTTCTTGTGCAGCACTACCAGAAAAGATAAGGCCTCAGCCCTCGACAAACTCTGATCTCTTCTAAAATGGTTTTATTCATAAATATAGTTTATATTTGTATTGACAATGAAACTTTTGGGGCAGACAAATAGTGCAAACTGAGCTTAACATTAAGGCAAAGGCTATTAAAGCCCTGGAGACAAATTTCTATGACACCAAGTCACACTCTGCCATCTGGTTATTCTCTCGTCTCAACTTGATTTTCAGTCTCCACCTCAGTACGCTCTTTGTTTCCAGCCTCCATTTGCTCATCTGTCACTTTAGACTCCATTTGCTCATCCGTCACTTTAGACTCCTTTTGCTCA